AAAGAGGCAGTAGTTATCAAGCAAGTGTCCTAAAATGTTTATATTTATAAATGTATAACATATATACAAAATATAAAAGATTTTTAGCAACCAAAAAAAAAAAGGATACTTGCTTCGAGGTTTACAACTTGAGGTTTGGGACTTCTTAAAATATATGGCTAGTCTTGTTGTGTTACATTGCAATGATATATTTGAGGTAATTGTTCATCTCTGCTTTAAATTTAAAAATACAGTATAGTTAAATATTTGTTAAGTGATTAATACAATTAGTATCATTGTAAAAAGATGGCAATAAATAAATAAGTAAAGTCAAATACCAAAATTTATCATCTGGATGCCTCAAACCCGAATGAGAAGTGATTTTTTTTCTTTAACAAAACTGATTTTTTTGGTCACTTTAGAAATGAGTTTCTTTTTAATGTTTTTAATCCTTTTTTTTCAGTCCCCAAGGCTTGCACAGTTTAGTACAAATGTTTCTGTTGTTTTGTTATTGTCAGATGCATGATGTTTATCAATTCCCAGGAAATAAATGAAATCAATAAAAAGTCTTGTGACAAGAGCACATTTTCACAGAATAAATTCAATGTGATTACTGTAAAACTACACAGAAAAAAATGTTAGCAAATTATATTTGTCTTCAGGTTTCATCTTTAAAAAAATATTTACTACATTTTTTGTGTGTGTGCAAGAATTCACTCACTGATTTCTTTGGTTTTAAACCTTATAGCTCTGTTTGACCTAAATACATATAGTTCTGTTTGTACCAAATATCAAAATAAAGACATTAACACTTCAAAAGGTAAAAATGGAATTACTGCTTCAGTGTAAAAACGCCTGCCCACTGGGCACTCTTGCTATTATTGCTTTGTTTCTACTGGAAACTGCCATGGAAATGAAGGAATGCGCCCCACAGTCCTTGCTTAATGCACAATTTGGTTGTACATTATTGTTAATATGTCCTTACCTGCATTCAAACTATCCCAATCTTGTCTTTAAAAAACAAAAAAGTGAAATAGTATAAATAAATAAGTCTACCTAGGGGCTACAATAAATAGGCTTCTCCATAGGAATAAAGAAATCATAATATAAAGCCCCTCAATGCCAGTACAATTAAACAACTGCTTTGGATTCTCAAAATCTCCAGATACAGCCTGAATTTTAGATCAGTTTTACTGCTGGTATAATAGCACACAGAAAAAGAAAACTCATTTCTATGGTTCTCATCATTTAAAAATGAAAAAGTGGATACAATAGTAAATTCTGCCTTTTAGGAATTTATCTAGGTGTATACCATTGTTGGTTTTTGACCTTTGCAAAGTTGTAGAGCATAATCTTAGGGATTAAAAAAATACTATTTCTTCAATTCTTAGTTGTTTCTTAGTGTCCAGAGTAACTATTAAAACAGAGAAGAAATCAGACTCAAAAGTCTGGCATCTTTTCTTAGCATCCATTGCATCCAGAGTGGGCTGTCGTTTCGCAGCGTATCTTTGACGAAGCTCTTCTATTTCCCGTTCCATATGGGGTCCAGTGCTTTCAATTGCATCTGTAGTTCTTCTAAACCTAGATTTTTTTAAAAAGTCAAAGTCTCCATCTTGAAGAACTTTCCAGTTATCTGGAAAAACATTTTGGACGTGGGGAAGGGTTCATGCATGTTCTGGTTGCAGTTTTCACGACTCATATTCTTGGAGTCCTGCTTATCAAAACCATAGTGTGTGAATCCAGCTCATCTTTCATCTGAGTTTTCTTCTTCCTCTTCTAGCTCTCGCTGCTGCTCTTCATGTCTTTTGGCATTGATTTCCATGGCTTCTGTGATCAGGTCTCTTAATATTGACATGGGTTTTGCATTCTTGATAAAAGGATGCTGAAACAGCTGGGTGGCAGTAGCTCTCTGCTCAGGATTCTTCACTAAGCACTTTTTCACAAAATCGGTGAAATTATCAGATGAAAGTTCAGGCTTCCTGAATGTTGGTGGCAGATTTATGGGAATCATAAAAATAGCCCTCATTGGATGTATATCAGCATAAGGTGGTTTTCTTTCTGCCATTTCTATAGATGTAGTACCAAGGGACCAGATATCAGCCACACAGTTGTAGCCTATTTCTTGAATTACTTCTGGAGCCATCCAAAATGGAGTTCTTATCACAGTGTTGTGTTTTGCCATTGTATCTGTTAACTGGCCAGCCACTCCAAAATCTGCAAGTTTTGCATGTCCTTCTGTATTGAGAAGAATAGTCCCAGTTTTTATATCTCTGTGTATTTTTCTCATAAAGTATAAATATTCTAATCTTTTCCAATGTGGATTTTAGAATGGTTGCAATTTCATCTTCTGTTAATGTCTTGTTTCGTGATCTAATTATGTCTGAGACTGATCCAGCTCCACAGTACTCCATAACAATCCAGAGGTCTGTGTTCTTAAAGTAACTACCACAGCACTTTACAACATATGGGCTGTCACACTGCTGCATTATAAAAATTTCATTATTTCCTGAAGATCTGACTCAACAGGTAGGTACTTGCTTAATTGCAACAACTTGACCAGATTCCTTATGTATTGCTTTAAAAAAACACTTCCGTAAGACCCTTCTCCAAGCTTCTCCAACACATCAAAAACTTCTTCAGGCTGCTTAGTCAAACTGTCTTCACTCGGCTTTTTTAGTTTACTCTTGGGCGCTGGCATCTGCTCCATGGCCGCCGATGGCAGAAAGGGGCCGGGTAGACCCTCCGGTGAAGGCCAGAGGAAGGAAAAGAGCCGGGGAGCAGCAGGCCAAGCGCAGGCAAGCACGCAGGGAAATTCCAGGAACTCGACCAACTTTTTCAACAAAACTAATTCCAAAGTGCCTGTTACTATGACTTCTCTTTAACAAATAATTAGTTTAAATAGTTGAAGAAGAAAAAAAGGACTGTTAATATTGTTTTTACCTGTCTTTATTACTGTTAGATATTTAATAAGCCATATATATGTTTTCTATGTTTTGGATATAGCCTCCTGGATTTTCATTTAAAATGATCTTATTTAAATGTTTTACAATCAAGGTAAATAAAATAGAGATCAAAGGTCATAAACATGAGAATTT